TATAAACTATTAAACAGGAATGAGTACAAATATGTTTTTCCAAATTGTACTGTACCCTTGTAGAATTGAACCATTCTGTTGTCGCCTCCTGTGACCTTGTTGCAGGGACAGAGGGAAAAATAATTATAATAATAAGTGAGGGGCCCAGTGTCAATACACTGGTGCTCGTTCCTAACATAAACATTACTCTCCACCTAAATATATGCTCTCTCAATCACTACAGCTCGCAGCAGGAATCATTTTCTGTAATTCTGAATAACCCTATACAGTTAAGATTAGGTTAAACTGAGAAACACAGCTGTGTTTCCAAACACTCCCAAAAGATCTTCCTCGACAAAAAAAAGGAATCTGTCTGTGGCCTGACAAATGGTGGGCTGAGTGATGAAAGAGGGAAGGGAAAAAAACACATGATTTATTTTCAAAGCTTTTATGATGCTTTCCATTGTTTCCCTCATGCTTTAGTCTTGATGCACTCTTCGACTGCCAATGGGGACGTAACTGTTGCAGAGATACAAAGGAACTGCTCGAATTACACCTGTGACAATTACTACAGCAAGGCGCTGTCTGTGGGACAAAAGAGTGTTATCTAAAACTACTCACGGAGAATGTACAGAAGAAAACCCAATTACTGCTTAGGCTTTGTTGCAGGTTTTAGGCTGTCTGGTATGTCACAATTACAATATTGTATTGTCAGCAGCAGATTAGCACAGCAGCACTGAGATGTTTTCTGTCTTTAAAATGACAAAATTACATGTACTACCCCAAATACAGGTGGCGTCTAGCTACACATTAGCCACTGTTGTATCTACGTTCATCAAATGTCTTGATTTCAAACCATAATGTCCTTTTCTTAGGCCTTGATGAATTCTTGATGAACAGGCACCCTATGTTAAGAGCTTTTGGTTTAAACAAGGAAAACACCCAATGAGATGTGGTTGAGCCCGGATACAGCGAGATGATGTCACGTTCTAACTAAAAACACCTTGTTAGCTACACAGTGACGGAGAGCGCCGGTCCATCTAGTGGACAGCTCTTTTTAAATGATGCCTGTTGAAAACAATTAGCAAACCATAGTGAACCATGTACAACGTTCAGGCACTTTGTCAAACACCACCTTGAATGAAAACAACACATCTATATTGAGCCAGGTAAATAGAGGCTTGTACCTAACGTAAACGGATACTTGTCACACAGCTCATGCTATATAAGAGCCCGTCAACGATCCTTAGAAGAACTTTTGATACGAATATATAGTTTAATTTTTAATTAGCACATTAGCTGAGCAGATTATCTGGAAGCCCTTAGTACGCATTAACAATAGAGTTGTCACTGGCCTGAGAACACAGGGTTCCTACGCCACAAACCAACACACACAACAATTAATCCCAATTATTAGCTCAGATGTCAAAACCACTTAGTTTAAACCTAATATGTAAACTTCAACAGCTCTGATGTAGCTTAATTGGTGTGGAAGTTTGTTTTCACAACATCATCAGTCACTACGAGGACACCATCATTTTTTTTTGCACCAAGGATTTTGAAGCAAAGGGAAGCTGGATAAAAATGCTTGCAGAGAAACCCATCAGCGCTCAACAATGTTTGAGCACAGCTGCGAGTGTTGCCCTCGGCCATCGATGGAAACAAGTTCTTTATTTATAGGGTTCAAGAACAGCTTGCTCTCTTGCTGTGGAACATAATCACCACATTTGTAAACGTAAAGCACGGCTTTGAATGTAACCATTCATCTTGCGTTACCATGTTGTCAATCAGACATCAAGGCTCTCCAAGGCCTGCGCTCACCACAGCAAGCTACCTTGTATCAGAATTATCCACAAAGTGCCAAGTGGCCCTGGGTCCTATTAACAGGACAACAAAGTACTAACTTATAGCAGTAACAGTAAGGATTACTGTCACGTTAGGCACATGGTCATTTCTCCACTTTGCTTTGACTGTGTTAACTGAGTATTTATGTGCGGCACAGTCACAGAAGGCATTACAAACAAACGTGCTGGCATCTCAGCAGGTTCTGTAGCAAAAGTGACCATTTCCTCCCTGGAAATAACTTGAAATTTCACCCCCTCATTCTGTCCAAATCGAGCCTCAAACTGCCGCAGCCAGTTTGAGGCTCGATTTGATTTCCTGGGATGCACTTATTTTGAACCAGACATTAAATGTGTCCCTAGAACAACTCTAATTTCCGGTGTTGAAATAACAAAAAGGTGGTTGGAGCCAGGTCACATTACAGCACAGCACTGTCCAGTATTTTAAAGAATGTCACCGAAGCCATGCTGTGTTAAAAATGATGACTATAATAGTGATGATAATAATGCTGGTGATTCAGAGCTGGCCTGTGGTGATTGGACCACTGCAGAGCGCTGTGTGTGTGAGTGTGTGTAAGTGTGTGTGGGAGGGCACTTGCCTCCAAAGTTGGATGCTTGCAGGAGAAATGACACATGAAGGAATATATTCAAACCCTGTGGATTCACCTCTTTCATTTCTTTTATATCAAACTTTGTCATGTGATTGTGGCCAATTGTGTTGAATTAGATTGGACTAGATTCTACATCTGCCATATTCACCAAGGTCAAGTTTTAGTCAAACCCTGCTGTGTCATACAGTATATTTTTTAAGTCTATTACATTATGGAGGCTTTTTGCAGTGCAAACATTCAACAATAAAATTAATCAATACTGGTCTGGTATTAATTATTTTGTGGAGTGGATAGAACAAAATCTGAAGCGGCAATACCTTGGAGTTCAGCCTCGAACGGGGGAAAATGAAGGTCAAAGAATTATTTCCACACCTGGAGTGGTACAGGTGCTTTAAAAGTCCTTTTTACATGAGTAAATTCACTGTTGTTAGTCATTAGTAACCCATTTCCGTTAATGGGAACAACAAGGAATAATGAATATACAGTGCGGGTGATATGTTTTGATCTATGATTTTACTGACTATGACCTACTACTGGAGAATTTATAAAAACATGGCATCATAAAGGTGGAACATTCCTGGTTTGGAAAGTAACATGAAAATGGACACCAGTATGTTCAGGTCATTGTTTAAGATTTAGGTGAAAGGGATCTATTGGCAGAAAGTTAATGTAGAATAATCCTCATGATGTTTTCACTAGTTCATTTCATCTAAATTGTATGAATTGTAGTTTTCTTTACCCCAGAAAAGGTCCTTTATATTTAAATACTTTATATTTACATCGAGGGGACCCTCTCTATGGAGGCTGCCATGTTTTTACATTAGACTGAACAAACTAAACACCTTTTGATTTTTTATGACAATTAAAGGCTACCACAGGTTTTTTCATGTTTGGAAGGAGAGGGTGAGGTGAGGGGTGTTCAGCTGCAACATGCAACTTCAACACTAGGTATCTTAAAATTCTACACACTGTACCTTTAAGTAAATTATTTGAACGTTACTTTTGGGGCACCACAGGGTCACAAAACATCCCCACCCATTACATCCAGCTGGTTGATGATGTTATTGTCCCTACAATAGAATGAACATGGTCACGCAGACCAGTGGTAGCAGCTTGATGCCAGGTCAATGCTGTAGTTTCACTCTGCAGTGACATCACAACACAATGGCAGCCCATGGTGTAAGTCAACAAATATAATGTTGTCCCTTTTCGTACAGCTTATTTCAAGCAGCATTGAAAGCAGAAGATCTTTACAGCACTGGGAAGCTTGGCTCATTTTCTGGTGACGAGATACACAAGCCTTTTGTTTACGAGCACCTGCTAAAGGAAAGAATTATCTACAAGTGAAAACTCAGAAATGCTCTCCATTATTATATTAGCAAAACCCACAATATGAATATGTTATATTTTTTATTCTCGGTATGAGTGTGTGATAGTTTTTGGGATGTGGAAACTAAACATCGGTCTTTTCTCCCCCTCAGCCATTGTGTGTCACTGAGAGGCCAAGATGCTGCATCCTCAATCTATTTCCCAGGCTGAGGCTCCGCACCACAGCTTGAGAAGCCCCGGTCCCCTTTAGTCGCTCCCTTTTTACCCTCCTTTTTACCTCCCTCAAACAATAGATCCTGCGCTACTCCAAGCAGCAGCCCCCCAAACACTCAGTGAATAAAGTTAGTCCAACATGCAGCCCTTAAACCCACCCAAAGACTACTGCCGGGCAGCCACACTCACAGAATTGTTTGTTAATAGTCCAATTAGATAATTGCCATCTTTCACTCCTTTTCCTCTCTGTTTCCCATAAAGGCATGAATGGCACTCAAGGAGGGGGGCAGGTTGAAGAGGGCTTCTGGCCAGCTAAGGTGACAAGAAGGGCCAGAGAATGTTCCTTGCACTAGGCCACCGGTTTGAATTGAATCATTGTGGCCTAATCAATGGTCTTATTGGATTACTGGCCACTGCTGTGTTCAGAGATATTGTTGCACTGACAATGAAAATAGCTAAGAGTTGGTGGTAGGGTGGGTGGGTGTGTGGTTAGTGGGCTGGAAGGCGAGTGGTGGAGAGTGGTAGGGGCCATTCCAGGGGTATGCATGAGTGAGAGAGAGTGTTAGCAGTCTAAGCACTAATGACAAGTTTTATTCTCTTGTTTTTGTCTTTTTAAAATGTGGAGGTTAGGACTATGAGAGGTGAAGATGGCTTCTGAGGTGCAATCATTTTAATACTGAAGAACGTGGCGTTAGCGGCCAGGACCTCGCTGGGCTGCCCTGAATGAACCACGGGACGACACAGGACATTTTAAAACAATTCCCTTCAAAGCAGAGCCCCGCGTTGTTGCGGTGCTGAAACTCACTGGCTTGTCATTGCCTCCAAAAATTCTGATTGACATGGATTTGTCTGTCATGCCTTTTTTTCCCACCTATCCCTCTCTCTCCCCCTCTCCGGCTTTCTCCCAGTGTCTCTTGCCGACAATAGCGTAGTGGTGAGATCTGCTCATTGCAGAATTCCGTTGATTGGCGAGAGAGCCAAAGGGAAAAAACGGGATCAAAGTTCGCTGACATGCCGCGGTGATCAGGTGCACTGTGAAAAGTCTGGGGGGGAGGTAAAAAATGTCTGGTCGTGTTCTGCGGATGGAAGAATGAAGCACCCGGGAACTTTTTTCAGATCTGGAAGAGTCGTACCCCTGTGATTGTGAGCATTCATGTGGGGTTCAGGGAGGCTTGGTTGCGAGACAAGACCAATCATTTGTCCTGATTCCCTGGGCTGAGAGGAGGCAAACAGAGGGGGACGGGACGAGCAAACCCCTCTATCAAGACCTGATCTATTTCCCCAAACAATTTAGTGTATTCATGAGGTTACGCAAATGTGGAGGCAGCGAAATTACCGTAATCAATTGAAACAGCAAGTGCGCTTCCATGGCTCTGATTATGTGAAGATCATCTATCAGCCTGATGTCTATGTAACGAAGAAAGGGGGGCACTGAATTACTGTTGAGTTTAACTGAGAAGTCCTTGATCATTGGGCAAAGGGAGTTTGGTCAGTGATAATAGGGCTCCTTGGTCTGCCGACGGAAGTATTTCTCCAAACATTAGATAGCTGACTCCGTCCTGCTGAAAGGTGCTGTTTTGAAACTAAAACCCACACTGTCCAGACGATCTGGTGTGCCGTGCTCTCCGTGATATCCTTTTTTTTCACTTGACAAAGGAAAAAAAAGGTTAACCGCAGGTCCTGAGGATAAACTGAGGATGGAGGTCAGGTACAACCAAGAGACGGACGGGATGGTGCTGAAGAATGGACTAAAGGAGGGGAAGGATGGCAAGGACTCCCAGGGAAGCTTGTCCAAAAGCTTCCTCAAGGAGCAGCAGGACTCCTTTTCCCCCTCTGGGACTCTGGACAACTGCGAGAAGAACAGAGGGAGCACAGGGGACCCAGACTACTGCCGGAGAATCCTAGTCCGAGGTACGGCTCTTCGCTCTCTCTCTTTTTTTCTGTTTTTAAAACCTTGAGGTTTTATACTGTAGAGATGGCACAGATGAATCTGTGCCGTTAGATTCACATGAATTTTAAAATCAGCAAAATGAGAGAATCTTCCAGAAATAAGTTTTAAAAACTAATTTATAAAAACGGACATTGTTTTTGGTACATTGACCGAAGATGGACAATAACAGCAAAATATTCCTTTAAATGAAAAATCTGCTACAAAAACAGTTTTTTAAAATTGATATCTATGGAGCCTGTAGATAAAGAGACCTCTGTTTTTTGTTTACTCTTCCGAGTGAGATGTTGAAATTACTGGTTGTTATTGTAATTTATTGTTATTCAAGAAAATATGGATATTACAATCTCTCTTAAATATGAGATTGGTAATTTTTTAAAGTAAAACCATAACAAGTTAAATTCTTCTTATGAATTTGTACCGTAACTAATGTAATTCTTTAGAGTTTAATGTTAATGTTAAAAAATAAATCATGAATATTTCCTTGGTTGAATTCAAAGGTGTGAAGCACATTGCAAGGATAAAGAAGGCTACATACAGCAGGGTTTTATACTATATGTACCGCCTTACACCTTCAGGGGATACATAAAATTATTAATATTTAAACACAAACAAGGGACGATGTTTATAAAGTATTATATTGAAATGTATAAACCACACATGGAACTGTGTATATGACTGTGTGTGTGTGTGTGTGTGTGAGTGTGAGTGTGTGTGAGTGTGTGTGAGTGTGTGTGTGAAAACAAATTTAAAAAAATAAATATATATGTATATATATATATATATATATATATAATATAATTTCACTAAAAACAGTGGATTAATTTTCAAAGATATTATGAGACAGAGCAAACCGACTCCCTAAATTATAAAAAAATAAATAATAGAAGATTGAATTTGTTTTATTCATTTATTTTTTGGGACAATTGTGTCATAGATTTGTGTTTATTAATTTGTTTCTGGTTAGTAACAAAATTATTGCAAATGTATTTTTTGCAACCCTGGAACCACTTTTTGCTCAATTTGAGAGGATGATACATTTAAGTACTTAACTTCAATTTGCTTTTAAACATTTAGCTCATATTTCTCATGACAACACACATTGTAATTTCTCTTGTATGCTAACATATGGATGAAATGAGTGAATTGAAATGGACATGTCGTGTATGTTTCCTGTTTTTTATGTAATCACTGGTTATATATACACATTTGTCAGCAAATATAAATGTATATCTTATTTGAATTGATAAAATAATAATAAGTATAAAAGTATTATCATTTTTTATGAAAGACTGAAATATTCTACTTATGTTAAATTTAATAATTTCAAACATTAATGTTGTCAGCTCATTGATATATAATTTAAAGAAAGATATTCATTATTTAATCCACAAATACTTAAATTCAGGAAGTAAAATCAGTATTTGACTCATAATGAGTACTTCTGTCCTATTGTGTGTATTCTGTGTTATTAATACTATTATTTATAGTATTATTAAAATTGTTATAACTATGATTATAATTCCTATTATATAATAACAGCTAATGATATATTTTATTTGTTTGTTTAAATTGTTACTTGGTTGCAATCTTTGCCTCAACCTTGTTAATTTGGAGTGCTTATTGTTGCAGATGCTAAAGGCTCCATCCGAGAGATTATTCTGCCGAAGGGTTTGGATTTGGACCGGCCCAAAAGAACCCGCACCTCCTTTACTGCAGAGCAGCTCTACCGGTTAGAGATGGAGTTCCAGAGGTGCCAGTACGTGGTTGGGAGGGAACGGACTGAACTGGCCCGCCAGCTCAATCTGTCTGAAACTCAGGTATGTATTCATCGTCCCCGCTTGTTTCCAAAATTCCAAATTAAATTCAAATTAAACAGGAAAATCTAGAGTGCAAAAGAACTTTTTCAATGATTTTCAGTCATTTCATGTTTTGTGTCTTTTTTTCTTTCACCCCTGTCTGTTTTGACTTCAGACAATCGTATTCCAATCTATGATGACCACTCGCTTAGTCACAGAAGAAGATGATTTTAAAGTCAATTAATTTGATTTGCAAACCCTGACACAAATCACTAATCAATCTGAATTCTGACAGAACCTGTTAATTGAAAGTGGTTTTCTCACGTATTAAAGAGTTTAAATCAGAGAGTGGATCATGTAAAAAGATATGGGCTACTTTCACAAACACTGCAGATATGAATGAACCTTTATTGGCACCAATGATCAATAACAAATAGTGGTGCTTTTGGTTGTATTCACAGACTTGCCAGTTAATGTAGGTGCGCTTGTTGGTTCTAATTTAGTGTTCTGGCGATGAAAGCTGTGGTCATTCTTTAGTTTGTATTTAGGTCAATGAATACACCATAGAGGATAAACAATATTTAATTTGTTTGTGGTTGTAGTTAGATTCATTTCATGCAGTGGTGATTCAGCTTATGGAGTGTTTGACAATATTGACTCAACCTGCTAAAATGAAATTTGTCATTGAAAAAAAAAATTGCGGACTTCCTACTGATGTCACATGTCTGGGGTCAGCAATGGATCATGCAGCGTCCGCCTTTGGGTGAACTGCGTTTGCACTCTTGCGTTTGACACCAGATTCCAGAGCACCACTCACCCTGTGATTTGGACTCAAGGGAACCCCAGTTGTCTGCGCCGGAGCATTGGCGTGTTTCTCAGCTCATTCAGTGTTATTCACCTATTTATGTGTTTTTTTTTAATTGTGCAACACGGCTAACGGTGCCCTCGACTCGGCCTTTGGTGTTAATGTGTTGTGGCTTTCGATGCGGTTGAACGACGTTGACCTGGAGTGGAGGTCTTTGAGAAGACGGCACTTTCCTTACAAAGTGACACCACGAGCAACATCTTCAATCTGCGGCTCTATTTCCATTAACCACACGGGGCTTTTGTGCTATTAATTATGCACATTTTACTTACTTGCTTAAAGTTTTTCAATTTTAGATGTTTTAATATGTTTAGTTGACCCACACAATTGTTGTTTAAGTCAAAACAAGTTGATTGTATGAAAATGTTGATCACATAAAGGTTTTATAGACAACCTTTGTTTAGGCCGGACAAAGGCTTCAGGATTTTATTTGAGTGTCTTCTTGTCCCGATGAAACACCTTTTATTGACAATAATGAAATTAACATTTTGTTCCCCCAGCACTCACAGGTTGTTTACACACTGACGGGATTTACTGTGCGTGCACTTCATTTTCGTTTGAGCTACTTCCTTCAGCTTGTCATTGTCTCTGATCAGAGAATTTCACCCCAAAAAAGAACAAGATTGTTCCTCCGGGGCAGTGTTTGAGTCACAAACAGAAAATATTGGATTGAGCGGCAGGACTTCTTCTCTTGATGTGAGATGGTTGTTAACAGTGGGTGAGGAGTGAAACCACAGACTGAAGAGAAAGGGGAAAAAAAAGATATTCAGATGTGATTGGACTGGCAGCAGGATTGAGCTGGAGGCTCACTGCTGATTGGTACATGAACATTTTGTTCCATATGAAAGCAATCAGGTGAAATTACAGAGATTTACAGGTACAATACACAGACAAGCCTGTATCTGTTTTAGTTTTGACATTTATTCAATTAAGACTATGTGGAACTGTCAAAATAACTGAATAGATCTGTCGAGCCAGATGAATGACTTGATTGAACATGTTAAATTACAAGGTTGGTGCTTTTTCCTACAATTTAATCAGTAATCAAAATGAATGAATAATTATTTCATTCTTAAGTGTGACTTTTTTTTCTTTATTTGGATACTACATAAACTGCTTGATATATGCTGCACACAGACTGAAATAGACATTAGCAATATTTCTGGAACAAATGGAGAAGCTAGATTCATCGGATGTGATAATATCTTTTATTTCAACTAAGAGAGATTTTCATTTTCTGAAGTGTTTGCAGCCTCGGATTTTTAAAAAGGCAACTTCAGTTCTGGGATTGTTCAGTTTCCGTCTGAGGCTCTTTGTAATTCTTGAAGCTAAATCTACATGTTCAGGGTCAGGGAATCACATGATCCTAATTAAGGAAGGTGTAGGTCTCTGAAATCAAGCGAATGGTGTTTGCGTCTGCACTTCTGTGCCTTTAAAATTATTTTGGAACATCAACTATATACAAACATAATATGGGCTGCATATTATGTTATGTAATTTATATACATATATTAACATTTCATCCATAAAATATCAGGAAGTAGTTTGAGTGTCCTGTAAATTAATAATTGTTGTTTTCTCTGAACTTTTACGTTTGATTCACAAAAAATAAACCGGGGAGACAGCTACAATCTTTCAACCAATGTTTGATAATTAACTTTAACAATCAAGCCACTATTAAAATTAGAGGATATTAATTCTCTGTCAGTCTCCAGTGATAATCTCATCTTTAAATAAATCACCATCACATCGTTATTTTCCAACATAAGAACAACAATCAGGTTTGATCGAATAAAACCAACAAACCGACGGAAGAAAAATGTCAAAGACAAAATTACATATCTTTTCGCAGAGTTAGAGGCTGATTATTATTATTCCACAGTGTTCTGACATATAAAGTTTTGTGGGTCGTCTCCTCCATGAGGAGCAGAGTATGAAATATTACATATTGGAACAGATTTGATTGTGTGTCTATGTGTGCACATACCCCTGGATTAGCAGCCACGATATACATTAAAGAGTACCACCAGTAGTCTGAATGCAGCAATTGGGAATGGGCAGGCACTTTGTCACGTATGGTCTCCGAACAAAAGCTTTGGATAATAGCTTTAACTTAATCTGTCAAGACACAGGCTTGTATGGTTCATTGTGCAATTGTCTCCAAGTACTGAGATGATCAGATTACTACTTTACAACTATAATCACAGCAAATATTGGTGAAAGGGAATTATAGAATTCTGCTTTCCTTACAACTACAACACCGACAATGGGAAGGTTTTAATTTCGAAGGATATTTTTATCCTAATATAAAATAAATGGGTGGGAGTGAGTCACATGTGCAAGACACAAGTCTTAATCCAGCCAGTCTGTGTTACTGTGGTGACTCAAGAGATTCAAGTCCCTGCTTTGAATTTAGCGAGACAAGCCAAGTCATTGCTCAGGTCAATTAAGTTGATCTGCTCCAGTTTCTACTTCTACATCATGCAAAGTGAAACTAAAATGTTGCACGAGGCTCACACCTTATACATCGCTCTGATATTTAACACTAACAAGTGAATGTGTTATGTCCGATGGCAGCACGTGAAACAAATGGCCACAATTTGTCAGTACGTTCCTCTGATGTAAATACGTCCTGATGTGCCACAGTAGGCGGATTGTGTCATTTCTGGTTGCCGGTGTGTCTGTGTATTTTGCTGCTCGATCTCAGTAATGTAGTTATTTTCTTCTTATAGTTGATAATTAGGTTTAAACTCATTTTAAACACTCGCTCTGCTCCTTCTTTGAGTTAATTTATCACATTTACATTTACTCTCCTCAGTTAGCTATCTCTGTCTCTCACTTTGCTGCTTTCATGTGTCTCGTATTGAGCTATTCCTCTGCCTTTACTCTTAATGATGTATTATTTAAATGTAGTTTATTTGTGGTTATAGAGGCCAGTGGATTAGAAATGCTCTGAGCCATGGAAAGTCAATCATTAGCTGCTGTAGTAATGCAATGTAGCCAACTCTAAAAGTGCCCTGAGGAAATGTGTTATAATTTGTGAAGTTAACATGATCTCCCCATGTCTGCGTGGGTTTTCTCTGGGTGCTCAGGCTTCCCATTGTCCAAAACCATGCTGATTAGAATTGGGTTAATTAGAGAATCTAAATTCACCGTAGGTGTGGATATGCGTGTGAAAGGGTTGCTTTTCTCTGTGTGTTGGTCCTGTGATACACTGGCAACCTGTCTCACGCTCAGTGTCAGCTGGGATTGCTTCCTGCACCCCCACCATCCTATACAAATGGATGGATGAATAAAATTGGCTTGACATTTCTGTTGAGTAAGTCAATTTTCTTATGGAAACACATTTTTCTACATGAAATATCACATGGGAATTGTTGCGGAACGACATAACGTAGCTTAAACTAAACACTAGCTTTCTAGCTAATGTTTCCCCAGAAAAGGGTTTGTACCCTCATGGTCGAATGCACTTATTGTAAGTCACCTTGGATAAAAGTTTTAGCTAAATGAAATGTAATGAAATTTTAAATAAAGAAGTTTGCTAAAAACAGACGTACCTTTCTTTGTGAGTTTTGTGGAGATAGATTATAAAGTATTATGCTGTTCTCTTTTTACAACTGTCATCATTATGACAACATGACCATAATCTTTAAATCATAATTTTATTTTAGTTTGACTGGCCCCTTACATGATATCAGTGTCTTGCATTGGCCTCTGATGTTGTCCTGCATCAGTTAGCAGTCTCTCTATGAGAATAATGTTTCAAAAACAAAACATGCAAAACTAAATATGCAAATATTTGAGTAAAAGTCAAATTTTCATTTGTCTGAAGTCTCAAATCATGAACGCATCAAAACTAACTCGACTCTGACTCTCAGTCGCGTGAGGTGAGACCCCCACCTCAGCAGTATACTGTATGAACTAGCCTACATGTTCCACATAAGCTGTTTCTGAAGCTCTTTCTCTCATCTGTGTACCTCCCCAGGTGAAGGTCTGGTTCCAGAACCGGCGCACTAAGCAGAAGAAGGACCAAGGGAAGGACTCTGAGCTGCGTTCAGTGGTTTCAGAAACAGCAGCAACCTGCAGCGTCCTAAGACTGCTGGAGCAGGGGCGGCTGCTGACACCTCCGGGCCTGCCAGGCCTTCTACCCCACTGCAGCAGTGGCACTCTGGGCTCTGCCCTGCGCCCTCCCTCCATGGCCATGGCCAGTAATGGCAGCAATAACAGCAACAGCAGTGGTGGAGGCAGCACTGGCACGGCAGGCGGCAGCCCTCCTCTACCCACTGTCACCAGCTCAGGGACAGTGGCGGGCCTGCAGAGCTCATCAGCAGCACACAGCCTCTTCAGTTTCCCAATGCCCTCCTTACTCAGTGGCGTCGCCACCCGCATTTCCTCCAATCCCCTGTCAATGGCTGGATCGCTGGCTGGAAACCTGCAGGAACTTTCCGCCCGCTACCTGAGCTCTTCTGCTTTTGAGCCTTATTCGCGGACCAATGGCAAAGAATCGATGGACAAGAAAATTCTGGAATGATGCTTTGTGGATTCCTGTTTCCTCTGGACATGTTTTGGTTGTTTCCTTGGCTTTCATTGTCTGTGTTTGGTTTTGCTCAGTCTCTATCATCTGTCTGTGTCAAGTTCTGTAGCAGTTCATGTATTCCATCTAACAAGGACAGGGTGGCAATGGGGGGATTTTGCACAAAATAGTCATATGGTACCAAAAAGGTACAGGAATTTAGAAAGGCACACATTTGAGGTGATCAATGAGGGATCTTTCAGGTTTCTGATTATTAAATTGCTACATCTATTCATTGGTCAAAAATAATAATTTAGACAGCATCTGCTTAATGCCACCATCACTCCAAAAGGGGAAGTGGCACTTGGTTTACAGCAAGAGATACATGATTGGTGACAGAAAAAGTGTTAAGTGATGGTACCTTATTGAATTTAGTTTCATTATTTGATTGTGTTGGTCAGTTGCATGTCACTGCAGTGAGTACATAAAGAGAAAGAGCAGCAGTTTGTGATATCCATTCAGCAAATCAGAATGTTTACAATTTTAAATGCAGCATTATGAGGGAACAAGCGGAGAATTGGGAAAGTAGTTCCTGTGTTTGAAGGTCACTGCAAGCCCAGTGTCAGCGAGAAACCCAGTGCATTAGACATGCAAATACAATTTGCTTATGCAGATGCCTTGCGAAAATTGATTTTACAAAAAAGATCATTCGTAGATCGGTTTGTATTAAGTTTGGACCAGACCAAAACATAATCCAGAAAAGGTGTTGTCATACACGATGATGGTTCAATTGTTCAGTGTTGTTTTCTCTGTGGTTTGGTGAGGATTTTTAACATTTTTCAACAACAATCTTCACTTTGTGGCAATTTCTTTGTCAAGCTGCGGTACCTGACATTGTTTTTCCCTGTCTGTGATTTTAATACCACTGGAGGTTCTCAGAGTTTCGGTGTACAGTTTTGATTCCATGTGGAAGCTATTTCCAGGAATGAGTTGCTGAAAGGGGAAGTCCTAAAAAGGGCTTTTCAGCATCAGTAGCCTGCTTGCTTTGTTGAACACTACAAGGTTTTTCCTTCATTGAGGCTATAGTAACATTTCCTCTCTGTGTGAAATTTTCAGAATTCACAGCTTTCATAAGAAGATTAAGGCAGACTGATGCATGTGAAGACTGAGTGGAATTATTGTAGTATAAAAAGTACTGAAAATGAGAAAAGTACCTTAAAATTGTTATTTTATTGTAAATTATTCAATTCTGTAATTAATAGATTATTAGTATCTGGAAAATAATGAATGAATGTATTTGCAGGGTTGAGGAATCAATCAAAAGCTCTTTGGTGCTGTCTTTGTGAAATATCTTGAAATTTGTGAAACGTGTGGTACAAATGTGCATATATATTATGTATATGGATACAGACAAAGTGTGATTTTCATTTTTCTTTCATACATGTTGCTATGAATTGAGTTATGATAAATTTCATGACTGTTATACCTCCATGTCTTTTTTACACTATTTTTGGTAATATGACCTTCTGATGTTGTTATCGTTCGTCCATTGATTACAGTGGAACAATATGTAGAGCTGGTGGTTTCAATTCAAACTTGACTTATAATAGTAAGATTTTAAAATGGGGCAAGAGGTTTTCAAAAGAAATGACAGACATACTCAAACTGTTAAATCAATTTCATTGGGACTCCATTGTTGATCATCAATCATTTTGCCATTTACTTTATTTATTAATACGCAATGTATGAAATGAGAGAAAAATGCCTGTCCTGATTCCCAAAAGTCCAAGCTGGTGTCTTCAAATGTCTTTTTTTCCTATGACCAACTGCCCAGAATCCAGACATATCCTCGTTAAATAGATCTAAAATAAAGAAGGCAGGACATTCTCACATTGGAATCTATAGAATCTCAGAATGAAATAAGGTTCTTTGTCAATTTGATTTAATTAATTGATTATTTTTCATAAACTCAATATTCAATATTTGTATGAAACAGTTTTATTATCAGTGACTAAAGGGAAAATACTAAAACATCCAAAGGTTAAATGTATGAGTTGCCTTTAGTTCCTGCACTGAGCTCAGAATAATAAGCTTAAGGAGCAACAGTGAGTTTTACTTCTCAGACAGGCGAGCCCAAGTTTTAAATAAGTGCACATCATGTGGTCTAAACCATAGAAAGGCTCAACACTCAGAGCTGAGAACTACCATGATCTTGTATGTTTTTAGGGTTAAAAATCATTTAGATTTAATACCTCTCATAAAATAGACAACAATAAAGAGAAGGACAGTGTTTCCTCTAGAAAAAAAAAACATCTATCAACAATGAGCTCTGTCATTGAAACTAAATCATTTTAGTCCCCTCTCTGTTTGGACAGTCATATTATAAAATAATTAATTTGATCAGAATATCACATTTACAAGATTGTCAATCATTAATCTCAATCCACTGATGAAGACAGTGAGATGTGTTGAAAAATTTAAAAGTAAATGAAGTTGAGATTTTTAAACTACTGTTACCATGTGGCATTCACACAGTTTCAGTTCAGTTTGTGGTGGGAATAAAGAAACTTCACCTTCATTGTACCTCCCACTTCTGAAAGTAAACCTATGCCCTGAGACACAGTAACATTAGCTTAGTGTGCACACTTAATCTGTGCACTTAACTGGACTGAGATGAGTCTGTGAGGGGACGGTCACTGCTGAACTGTCATGAAACGTCCTGGATGAGCCTGGTGTGTGTCGCCCGAGGTATGCGGCAAGAGAGCTTTACTGGTTGTGCCATGAAAAAGACAAAAACACCTCTCCAAGATGAAAAGACTCATGGTCATCAGTTTTTTTTTTTCAAGTGTCTTAAATAAAAGCTGGAAAACACATTTAAGAGCAGAGGATATACTCCACAAGCCTCTGTTTAGCAGTGTGGCATCATCAGGATGGTGTGTGTCTGCTGTTGCCAGTGGTGGAAAGTGATTATATAAATGTAATCAATTAGCGTAATATAGTCTGTATATATTTCCAATGGATGTTATCTTCCACTTATACAATTTGAATTAAGTTAAAGGCTCCAGTGCTTTTTATCCCAAAATATATGTGATAACTGTGCAAATTATAGGGTTAAAAAACCCTGCTGTTTATAAAGTTGTTACATTTTACCACTATACTTTGCAGACATCAAAATGCTCCAAATGCATCATTAGTAGCAGCCTAAAATATAATAAATAATATTGCACTTTGTGGCTGTTATAAGGACTTTGTCCACCGCCGGCTGTGAACAGAAGAAATGGACCTCAGAGCAGTATACTGTAGGATCTTGGTGCAAAGATGCTGCCACAAGTTTAAGTGTGTTTTTAATATTCGGACGATTTAGAGATCTGTCTGAGTTGAGCTCCGCTTCCTACAGCAGAGTAATCACAGCAGAATCTCAGGCACTGTCCAGTAACAGAAAAAAAACTGAGGCCCTTTTGTGAGCAGAGCCAAAGAAACCAATCCTCCCCACTGTGTCTTGGGAAACTCCCCAGAAGAGAAAAAAAAAGGTCACACTTAACGCCTCCTACCCCCTTTCCAACCCCCACCGCTACCCCCTCCCATTCTCTCCCTTCACCCCGAAGTCCAATTAGAAGGAAGGTCAGGGATGTTTTTGTAAGTGGGGGGTTTCGGGGGGGAGGAATGCACGTTATGTCTGCAGGCGCAGGGCTGTCACTGCTTCAGACCACCAACACATTTTCTCCCGTCACATGGTCCCTCCTGTCTTTAAGATGAGGTTTCAGGAGGTGAAAGTAAGGCTACGTCCTGTTTTGTTGTTAGTATCTGTTTTTTAGTGTGTCACACAATGGATCTGGGGATTAACATCCTGACAAGTCTAACTTTATAAAAAAGCTCCCATTGATCTGGTCACATTAAGCTGTGCAGTACAACAAATACATAGGATTCCCCTCTAAGCCTCCCGGGCCTGTGACGCAGTGTGGTCACTCTGCTTCTTCACATATTAATTAATCCCATTAAGTAATCAAAGGAGTGAGGGGAGTGGAAAAAGAGAGGTTTCTACTTATGTATTCAATAAAACACTTAATATAGAGACATGAAATAATCAGAATTTCCCAACACGTTGAAATAATACAATGTCATAACACAGTGTTTAAGAACACCCTCACTACTGACACACAGTTTGTTTTAAGTAGCAGGATTCTTTTTTTTTGTCAATAAAAGTAGACCAGGACTGTAAGTGGGCACACAAAATGCTGGTGTGTAGTAAAATAGGCGATCATATTATTTGCAATGGAGTTGTTGAGTAAAGCTATTGTCATTTAGCAATGTCTCTATTCTGTTTGATTACTTATTTAGTCTTTTCTTTGCAAGGTGCACTATTAATTGTTTCATATTCACAGCAGAGTCAGTGCTGGTGTAATGCTTGTGTAAATGCACAGTTATGACGCGCCTCTCTGGTTTTCTTCTCTATAAATTCTGTCTTTCAGCTCGTTGTTTTGGATCAGTCTCAAAGTTCTCATCAGCACAAGTTAGCTAGCTGGTGAATATTGGAGCATGTAATATGTGCACCGCCACGTGTTTCCACCGAGAGTGGCTAGCTGAAGGAGAGTGTTTGCAGGTTGGGGATAATAAGCAACTGTTTGCTTTAGCACTTCAACATTTATTTTACTTTAGAAGGTGTCAACAAGCATTTACAACTTTTCCCACTGACCCCAAGTTGTCCCAAAAAAGAAATGAAAAGATCTGTTCAGGTGAAAAGCTTGGCTCTATCCAAAATAAAAAGGTAAAAAAGAATAATTAATTATATTAAGAGTAGAAGAATGACCCCCCCTCCCCCCAGAAAAAAAATATTTAAATGTAAAAATTTATTAGACAAAAAACAAAACACAAATGTGGAGTAAAAGCAATTTCATTACACGAAGTGTGGATAGGAAACAAAAATGATTTTAAAATGTCTTAATAGCTGTTAAAAAGAGATGAGTCGTTCTTTTAAGAGCGCTGTGGTGCATATTAAATAAATTACAACAAATAAAAGATCAGGTGTGTCAAAAGTAACTCCAACCAATCAAAAGCTGCCTCTGTTACTTTTACATTACATTTAGCTGACGCATTGATCCAAAGTGAAAGACATTGAGGACAGTTGTGCAACAGCTGGAAAGCCAGTCCCTCATTGTCAGAGCCCAGAGAACACTTCAGATAGAACGCCACACTAATAAAATAGGCCACCACACACAATAGCAGAGATTCTGCAATTTCACTGACCCTTCACTTGTTTACATGAACCACACAAAGGCAACACGATGCCGCCTCTGAGTTATATAACACGCCGTTGTTTCGGATTATGAGGCATTGTGTGGACGACAACATCATCGGCATCCTTTCCCATCATGATGACTCTCTTACTCAAGCAACAAGCCGGCTCTGTGACCACATCTGCTGCCGCAATAAATGTGGAACAACGAAGGCCCCTCTTTAAGGCAGACCACTGGAAGAGAAATGGCACTACTATCCCACCTTTCCACAGGCTGTATGAGGGGGGGTTATATCTGCATCAAAGTGAATGGACCACACGCCAGCCGCAGCCTCAGAATCTTTGAGACACGATTGAAATCCGGAACTAAAAAAAAACTTAATCAAAAACAACTTGTTTGGAATAAAGGTCAGGCTTCTACTTTTGAATAAACAGTGTGAACAAACCTACAAAAACATTTACTATTGTATCGCATTGAACGCAAACAGTCATATACACTATAAGAGACAAATTACAACATTAATATTGCATACATTTTATCCATTACTGACCAACAAGAAAATCTACTAAATAGTTGGCTGTAGTTCCATTTTAGTAAAATAAGGTAATGTCCAAATGAAAATACTCTTTAGGGATATGAAGGCTGAGTTGCATTTGATAATATCCACAAAGATACGGTCAACAGATGCCCAACGATGATAGAACATACTGCAAACTATATTTAGTTTTTGAATGCTTAATATCAGAGTTAGTATCGTCACTAAAGAGCCTTCGAATTGGAACAGTCTAGTTGCACCGCTGTGACGTAATTGGTCTTCAAATGCAGCTTCCGATGGATGCCGCCCTCAATTGAGACACAGCTTATATGAACACCCCCCTTTGAGGAATTCTTTATCTTGGACCTTGGAATTTCTGAAATGTCCAGTTATGTGTAGCCATGGATGCACATTTTTAATGAATCTGTCTGAAGACTTTAAAACAGTCTCATCTTTTCTCTTTCTCATTATACATTTGATTTTCTTGCACTTCTGCAAATGTTGATGGAGACAGAAGGATTAACTGAGTTCCAGAAAAATGTAATTGGCAGTCAAACATAGTACTAAATCTTCCTCTCAAATATCCAGACATTGAGCAGTATTATCCTGAACAAGTGAGTGAATCCACCTGGATGATCACACATG